TGTCTACACTACCACCCTAGTTTGAACTAGGGTGGTAGTGTAGACATACCCTCTGAGAGAATTCTGCCCTGACAGGGGATCCCTGAATTTGAACAGAAAAGGTTACATTGCTTTGACTGACATAAACTCTCTGACCAGTCTTCTTTCTGGTGTTGTTTGGGGAGCATTCAGCTAATTTCAGTGGAACTAAATTAATTTTACAGGGGGGGGGATGACTTCCCCAGCTCAGCTTCCCCCTGTAGATCTATCCTCCAGCATCTGAATATTCCATCAAGAGTGTGCGTTGATGAGTCTATTCCAAATCTAAATCCTCCCACAGATAGGGTTTCAGATGTTAATAAAATTTACAGAGTAGAATCTAGATCAGTAGTTCCCAACCTTTTCGAGTATACGGACCCCTTTTCAATCTATTAAAATTTTATGGCCCCCCCAAACAATATAGCTGTTTTCAAACATTCCATTACTTGATAATCATTTGACATGTATAATAGTTCATGTTATCTAAACAATTATAGTAGTATTGAGAGAGAATACAGGGTGTCCACATTAAAATGTAACAACTTTGAGGTGCCATGTATCTTTATTGAATAAAATTTTATTGGATCCACCGATTCATTTTTGCTAACAGCCCAACTAAACCCTTCCTGACACTCTAATAGCTTTTGAAAGGTTAGAGTGGAGTGATGTATTCACGTAACATGATCATTTCAAAAAAGAGGAAAAAATGGTAAAAAGTGACTGAGCCATTTATAAGCCGACTCCAGAGGACAGTCGCAGCTTGTCATCTTCAGTGTGGGCTGAGGGACATGCAGACTGCAGGGCATGGAGCTTCTCAGCTCCCATTGGTTGCTGTTTGCTGTTCACAGCCAAAGGAAGAAGCTCTGTGCCTGCAAGCACATAAACTCAGACAAATGTCCCAGCAGAGTATAGCAGAGACCACAGCACTTCCCAAGGTCACTTCCCAGCCCAGCAAGGCAAACCGCTGGTGCACTGGGACATTTATTTATGTGGAGTGTCTGCACGCTGGGAACCTGTCAGCTTCTTGTCCCTGCCTTTTGCTGTTCTGGGTCAAGGGGAGCGGCAGGAAGTATTGGCCAGCACATCCCTTGACCCACGCTGCTTCCTTAGCAACTCCCCCTGTGTCCCCTGCCTATCCATGGAGAATACGGTGAGGGAACTCTCATGGCCAAAGGCAGCTCCTGCCCCAGGATTCCACCCTTGGCCAGGCACAGAGCCCTGGGGAGAAACAAAAAAGAAAAGGAAAAGGAAAGTAAGGATCAGGGGGCCCACCGCAGGACAGAGGGGTGGGGGAAAGAGCTGGAGCATAAATGGCAGCGCAGCTGGTGGTGGGAGGATAGATGATCACAAACAGCGAGGCCTAGGTAAGAATCACCTGGCAGAAAGTCCCAGTCACGCAGTAGGCCTGATAGTTACTGTTAAACTTTCTGTGGACTGCCTGCAGTACCATCACACACCACCATGGTTCCATCAACCACAGGTTGGGAACCACTGATCTAGATCATTATAAGACATTAACTATAATATATCAGGCACTCTGTGCATACAACCCAAGATCTTTGAAAGATTTACATATGCCTCTGTTGTAAACAGGTCTAAATTAGTCTTTGTAATCTCTAATTTATTATATTCTGTAATTTATTATACTTTTCAGTTTGAAAAGAGACTAAGGGCTTGTCTACACACAGCTAAATCACTGTAGTGCTTAATGAAGACTCTACCTATCCTGATGGAAGAGCTTGTGATAGCTGCATAGCCACTCCACCTCCCTAAGAGGTTGAAGCCCTCCCATCGACATAGCACTGTCTACACAAGGGGTTAGGTCAGTATAACTATGTTGCTTAGGGGTGTGGATTTTCCATACGCTGGGGCTATGCAGTTAAGCCAACTAAGTTTGTAGTGTACAACAGAACTTAAACTGTGAACTGTAAAGTTAGACTTATCTGATTCAGTTGACCTAGTGGAGTTACACCAGTCATGAATTCGGGGCGTTCTGTTTAGTAAAAACTTCTTAATGTTTGCATTGGGAAAGGCACATGGAATACAGTGTATATTCTCTCAACAAGGGATGTTTTTTCTCTCCTAATTTTGCTAAAGAGTTTGGTTTAATATACCAGCAACTTGTAAATTACACTGTTTTGCTATTCAGAACAGTTCTCATACTGTAAGTACAGATGGCTGACTTTCCACTGACTGCAGCCCAAAACAAAGTAACTGAGGCCACGTGGAAAAAGAAGAGGCACTCTTTGTTCAAAAGACACAAAAACATGTGCCAGGAAAAGTGAGCAACAGACAGCTGATATGTACTTACTACTATTTCTTTAGTTTTTTAGGCATGAAATTTCTCATGATTCAGATTAACTCTGTTTATTATTATTTCACCTACCCTGAAATGTGAACTGTAAGAATTTTAATAAATAAATGAACTGAAAGTCTATCTGTTTTCATTGCAGCTCTTGCTGGTATCTGGTATTATCTTCTGCTGAACTGCTTTCATTACTTACAAGACGCACACTTGTCATTGGTTCTCATCATATAACATTCCCTCTCTCTATGGTATTTTATGGCTCCCATTATGTTAGTATTGTTATGCCTCACATTCTTAATGTGTTTTATCAATACAACACTCACATGAGGTAGGGGAAAAGCGATCATTTCCTATTTTACAGATAAGGTCAAGAGAAAGTAATCAATAAAAGGCTATGTCTGTGCTAAGTCTCCCCCACCCTGGTTGGTGTAACCTGCACAACTTTGTCTATGCAAATAGTATAGTTGAAGTTGATATACTTACCAGGGTATCTTCTGTGCAGTAAGGTGAGTAAGGGCTGCTCTCCTATTGACTCTAGCTACTCTTTTCACCCTGGTGGAGTACCAGAGTTGACAGAAGAGCGCTCAGGGCTTGTCTAGACTGCATTCCTCTCTCGAAAGAGGAATGTGAATGAAGCAGATTGAAAATTCAAATGAAGTGTGGATTTACAAATCTCATGCTTCGTTTGCAAAATCACATCCGAGCGCTTGATAAAGGGTTTTTTAAAAAAACCCCGCAGTCTAGATGGAGTTCTTTCAGAAAAAATAACCCTTTTTCGAAAGAATCTGTACTCCTGAAAAAATGAGGTGTACAGGTTCTTTCAAAAAAGGGTTGGTTTTTTTTTCCCCCGAAAAACCCTTTTTCGAAAAAGCACTCAGATACGATTATGCAAATGAAGCGCGAGATTTGTAAATTCACCCTTCATGTGAATTGTCAATCTGCTTCATTTGCATTCCCCTTTTGAGAGAGAAATGCAGTCTAGACATAACTTCAGAGATCAATTTATTGTGTTTAAGCAGATGTGATAAATCAACCAACAGTGGATCGATCTCAGTAGAACTGATCTACCAGGTAATGGAGAGAAGTCCTTAGTAACCTACATACCATTGAGGATCTGGGTCTAAGCGATTTCTTTCAAGGAACAAATCAGTTTCATTTTGTATGTGTGGGAAGTGATTGTCTAAGAAGGAGTACTGCAGAAAGAGATCTAGGGGTCATAGTGGACCACAAGCTAAATATGAGTCAACAGTGTGACACTGTTGCAAAAAAAGCAAACATGATTTGGGGGTGCATTAACAGAAGTGTTGTGAGCAAGACACCACAAGTCATTCTTCTGCTGTACTCTGCACTAATTAGGCCTCAGTTGGAGTATTATGTCCAGTTCTGGGCACCACATTTCAAGAAAGATGTGGAAAAATTGGAGAAGGTCCGAGAAGAGCAACAAAAATGATTAAAGGTCTAGAAAACATGAGCTATGAGGGAAGACTGAAAGAACTGGGCTTGTTTAGCTTAGAAAAGAGAAGACTGAGAAGGGACATGATAGAAGTTTTCAAGTATCTGAAAGGGTGTTACAAGGAGGAAGGAGAAAAATTGTTCTCTTTGGCCTCCGATGATAGGACAAAAAGCAATGGGCTAAAATTACAGTAAGGGAGGCTTAGGTTGGACGTTAGGAGAAACTTCCTAACTGTCAGGGCAGTTAAACACTGGAATAAATTGCCTAGTGAGGCTGTGGACTCTCCATCTCTAGAGATATTTAAGAGCAGGTTAGATAGACATCTGTCAAGGATGATCTAAACAGTGTTTGGTCTTGCCATGAGGGCAGGGGGCTGGACTTGATGATCTCTCAAGGTCCCTTCCAGTTTAGGTATTCTATGATTCTAAGGTCACACTGGAAGTCTGTAACAAAGCAAGGAATTGAACCTGGGTTTCCTGCATCCCAGACTAGCCCTCTCACACGTGGGGCAGCCTTATCTCCTCTAAAGATGGAAAGTTGTGGGAAAAAAACTATCAAGACCACAAACTCTTTCTACAATGATTCTGTCAGTAAAATAAACATGTAAATATTGAAAATATTTCAACCAAGTCATTACATATTGTAGACTTATGCACAAAATAATGTATTGAAATTTTTAAACATCTGTATACTTTACTAATAAAATGTTAGGTAAGTATTAGAATATATCAGGGCTTAACCTAAACGGAACTTTTGTTTTTCAATCTTAAACTGTGACAATTATTAAATAATTACTAATGTCAAAACTCGTCAGAGAGAGTAGTTGCTATTTATCCATGTGCCAGCAATAACGGTACACTGAACACAGATGGGAACATGTGTGCTGTGCCCTCTGTTATTTTAGGCTAAGTCTACACTGCCACTTTATTGCTGTGCAATTTTCTGTCTCAGGGGTGTGAAGAAATACCTTCCACCTCTGAGTGCAGCAAGTTACAGTGCTGTAAAGTGCCAGCATGAACGGGGCTACTGGCACTGTTAGCTACTTCTGTGGTGGAGGTGGTTTCCCTGGAGCGCTGAGAGAACTCTCTCCTAGTGTTTCTGCCCTGGGCACACACTGCTGTTTTAAACTGCTGTGCTTTAAAGTTTTAAGTGTAGACAAAGCCTTACACTGTTTAAATTCTATTTAACATAACTAGGTCTAATTGTTGGGTTTTTTTACAGTAATGAATCATCAACACCAGCAACAGATGACACCAAGTACAACCATGTCCCAGCAGAGCCATCCTACCCAGAATCCTCAAGGGGGGTTGTTGAACATGCCCAATGCCCTGACAACCCAGCAGCAGCAGCAACAGAAGCTGAGGCTTCAAAGGATCCAAATGGAAAGGGAGAGAATTAGGATGCGCCAGGAAGAGCTCCTGCGACAGGTACTGCTACTCTTTCTGCAGATATTTTTAATTTGATGCATGGAAGTGTGTGTTGTGGTTTGTGTGTAGAAAAAACAACAACAAACAAGTACAGCCAAAATTAACTTTTCTTTTATACAAAGGGAACCAAACCAGAAAAGTCTTAGAGATCATACAGGCTACGTCTACACTGGCATCCCTTCTGGAAAAGGGATGCTAATGTAGCACGTTGGAATAGGCAAATCCGCAGGAGATTTAAATATCCCCCGCGGCATTTGCATTAACACGGCTGCCGCTTTTTTCCGGCTTGGGGAAAAGCCGGAGAAAAGCGCCAGTCTAGACGTTATTCTCCGGAAAATAAAGCCTTTTCCGGAGGATTTCTTATTCCTACTTTCAAGGGCTGCTCTCTAAGGAATATTCTCCGGAAAAGGCTTTATTTTCCGGAGAATAACGTCTAGACTGGCGCTTTTCTCCGGCTTTTCCCCAAGCCGGAAAAAAGCGGCAGCCGTGTTAATGCAAATGCCGCGGGGGATATTTAAATCCCCCGTGGATTTGCCTATTCCAAAGTCTACATTAGCATCCCTTTTCCGGAAAGGTGTGCCAATGTAGACACAGCCACAATGTTTGTGTTTCTTTTCACATACCACACTGAAAAGAACATACCTGCTTATTTCTGCCTCTAGCAGTCCTTAGAAATGTAAAGGTGCAGTATACAAAACAACAGAAATCCTGACAGTTTCATAACTAAATATACAGTAGGTTTAGCAACAAATTCTGCTAATGTAGACACAGCCACAATGTTTGTGTTTCTTTTCACATACCACACTGAAAAGAACATACCTGCTTATTTCTGCCTCTAGCAGTCCTTAGAAATGTAAAGGTGCAGTATACAAAACAACAGAAATCCTGACAGTTTCATAACTAAATATACAGTAGGTTTAGCAACAAATTCTGCTCTTTTGCAACTATGTAAATCTGGAGTAACTCTGTTGATCAGAGTTGAATTTACACTGATTTGAATGAGAGCAGAATTGCTGTAGCATTACCCTGTGGGCCAAATCTTGGTCTCAGTAAAGACAATGGCAAATTTGTTCCCAACAGTCTGTCTTAGAGGTTTGGGGCCAAATTTTATTATTGATGGTATTTTGCCCTTTGATTACAGTAGAGCTTTGAGTTACATCTCACACAAACGTGGTCTGGGTGGTAATTTTTCCAGGGCAGTGTGATTTTTTTGTTTCTTTTCTTTTACATTTGTGTTTTCTTATTTTTAAGGATCAGCTTTATAATGACTCATACAGTACAAACAGATATGTAGCTTCCTTTACACTGCTTTAAGGAAATAAACAGTTTTAACAATTGCAAAGGATGTGTTTCTTCTGTTAGGGAGTACTCTGATGATGTTATGTTTTACACAGTATATTAATCAACTTCCTTAGAGAACACAAATAACCTGTTTCCTTTAGGAACAGTGTGAACTGAGTATGTTTTATTGAGGATATTACGGTCATAGACAGTAGCCTTGTAAATGGGCAATCAGAGTTCCAAACATCTAACAAAATGGTGCACTTTCACCAAAGAAAAATTTTAGAAAACTGTTGCTTTAATTATTATTTCATTACTACAGTCTTCTTGTGCCTAAATGCATGTGGTTATTTCAGGGTAACATTTGTTTATCTTATATTTCTAAATACAGTATCACATTCCTTGGCAGCAAATAGAAGTATGTTTTCTCTTACGGTAATGACACCAATTGGCACAATATTTCTAGTGTTTTATTAGTGTGCTGTAAATTGTAGCAATGTTTATTTGCTTGCAATGGTCACTATCACAATATAATTTTGAAATTCCTTATTTAGACATTAAATATGTCTTTTATAGTGATTGGTGCAAGTAGCATAGGTAAGCACAGATCAAAACCCCTTATGTGAACGCCCCGGGACTGTGGGAAAGAATGGCAGGATCTGGCCATTGATTGGTCACAATTAAGTGAACAATATCAATCTCTACTTTTTTTTTTAAACCTAAGGAGGTGAATTAATGAATATGTGTTCGTGATGACAATAGACTGGAACATTTAGGGCATATTGTGGGGAGCAAGCAGCAAAATAGTCATGCTTTTGCAGCTTTTGAGAAGGAAACAGAGATCTGAATGATCAAAGTGGATGTTACCAGAAAGGCAGGTCTGCCCATAGAAAACCTAACTTCTTTTAGGACAGATGGAAAATTTCTTCAAAGCAGCAAATTAAGAGCAGGCTGTTTTGTTTCTCCTTGTCAATATGAGGCAAAAATGTAATGAATGATGATTGCCTCCTTTTCCTCCACTAGCATTACTGATAAAATGAATAAAAAGTCCAAGATCCTTCCAGAACATTTTACCATTTATTGCTGCCACTAAATTTGGGAGAGCTCCAGTCTGGAGTTCTTTTTTCCTGGAGTCTTATTTAAATTATCACAATATTAACAATATTGTCTACAGATGGTTTGCAAAGAATTAACAAATTTCTTCTATTTTGGGATTTCCTAGGTATAGCTACTAGTGCAGATTTTGGCTCAGAGTTACAGGTTCGTCTATAAATTATGGTGTTCTGTACCAGCACAGGAAGGATTGCTAACATAGTGAGAATTGGATGCCTATTTTAACTATATGATGTAAAGTGCACAGATGGACAAATATAGCAAAAGAGAATTTGTAAGTAGCCTTTCTAATAAAACATGTTAATTTGCCTCACTAATATTTACAACTCCTTTTATCCTATCTTTCTGCAAATATTTGTATGAATACATTTAAAAATACTTTTAAAAGATTGACTCAAGTCAGCTGGAAACTTTGCATAATATCATTTGGCTACAATTGTAACAAACAAGAATAAAAATCGAAGATCAAAATGCAGTCCCATATAGGTCTGGATCCAGCAAAGCACTTAAACACATGCCAACTTTTAAGCATATAAATAGTTTCAGTGCCTTCCGTAGAACTACTCAAATGTTTGCAGTTAGGCATATGCTTAAGTACCTTGCTGAACTGAGGCAACAAAGCAGAGATAACTTTGCTGAAACCAATGGAATTTTCCATGCTTATGCCAGTACTGAATTTGGCCCTTGAAGTTTAGACTTAATACTGCAAACATCTTGTACCTAAATTCTACACATACCTCATACAAGTCCCTTAGATGCTGCAAGATCGTTTGTGGCCGCAGCCGGGAGTCATACTGTACTGCTTCACATTTGAGCACAAGCAGGAGAGCTGACAGCCTCGCAGGTTCATGGGCAAAGTGGGAAGGGAGGGCTGCTCTGTGCTCCTGGAAGGGATGGGGCTCAGGCAGAAATGGCAAGGACAGGGGCAGCCAGCCCTCAGCACTTGCTGGACTGTGGCATGCCTTCCCGCCCAGCCCTCAAAGTCACCCAGAACACACTGCACAGCACTCTGGTGGTGATTTAAAGGGCCCGGAGCTCCAGCCACTGCTGTGACTGCAGCAAAGGTGGCTGGGAGCCATAGGACAATTGCGCCCTCTCTCCCCCCGTCTATGGGCCTGAGCGCATGTATGATGAACTACTGAGTGTTGTCCTCCATACTGAGCAGGCTGAGTCCGCTCCACCTCCCAACTGCATCTCGTGTCCACCTCTGCTGGTGCCCCAAGCTGTATCTCCACTGGCCCCCAGCCCTCAGCTGCAGCTCTGCTCTGCCCCCTGGTTAACCCCCAGGCCACCTCTGTCTCCAGCCCAAGTTCCTCCCCCATACCCAGGTCTTCCTTTAGCTTTGCCTTCAGCATAGGCTTCAGCACAGGAGGGGGCTTAGGGCACAGACAGGTCCCATTACTGGTAAGGGGAGGCTCAACAGGAAAAGTTGGGGTACCCCTGCCCACTAGAAGATAAAGGGTAAAAGACAAAAAAGTATCTCTGCAGTCTGTAGCTTGTAGTTTTAACCAACAGGAACTTTATGAACTTCCTGTCAGCAATCAGAGAAGTGCTGAGGCCTAGCAGTATGATGGCATGTAGCAAACCCCTGAGGGGCTTCCTTGTTAAAACATTGTTATTCCTACCCTAATCCTTCACTGCTGCTTTTGCTTTTTTAATGCAACCTGTCTAAGAAAAAAAATGCTGAGTAAGTGTAAGCACTTGGTGCTAGGCGACCGAAATGAGGTGAAAGGGTTGGGTGAAGGGGAGTGGAATTCTTTTGGCAGGACCCTCAAATCTCCTTTCAGTTTGACAGCAGCTGCTGGCTGGCAGGCTCTCTGCTCTCATTCCTGTCTCTGCAGCTGCTCTCCTGGAGAGACACACCCAGCCGTGAAGGAATAGAGAGTTTTAGGAGGTTTCTGGTTAGAGTGGTGTTGTTCTTTTCTCCTCCCCTTCATTATAGCTGAAACAAAATACAGGACTATGTAGCACTTTAAAGACTAACAAGATGGTTTATTAGATGATGAGCTTTCGTGGGCCAGACCCACTTCCTCAGATCAAATAGTGGAAGAAAATAGTCACAACCATATATACCAAAGGATACAATTAATTTTTTTTAATTGTATCCTTTGGTATATATGGTTGTGACTATTTTCTTCCACTATTTGATCTGAGGAAGTGGGTCTGACCCACGAAAGCTCATCATCTAATAAACCATCTTGTTAGTCTTTAAAGTGCTACATAGTCCTGTATTTTGTTTCAGCTACACCAGACTAACACGGCTACATTCCTATCACTATCCTTCATTATAGGATTGCATTTGAAAAAGCAACTGTTCTCTTTCCTGTAGCAATTGAATGGGGAGCTGAGCAGTTGGGCTGCATCTAGACTGGCATGAATTTGCGGAAATACTTTTAACGGAAAAGTTTTTCAGTTAAAAGTATTTCCGCAAAAGCGCATCTAGATTGGCACGGATGCTTTTGCGCAAAAGCATCCGTGGCCAGCCTAGATGCGATTTTGCGCAAGAAAGCCCCGATCGCCATTTTAGCCACCGGGGCTTTTTTGCACAAAACAGTTCTTCCCTGTCTACACTGGCCCTCTTGCGCAAGTATTCTTGCGCAAGAGGG